TGGGGCTGTTAACATCTGCATATGGCCCTGTTGAGGCATCGACAAGGGCTTAGCTGGCACTTGTCGAATCCAAGTGAGATCCTTTGGCCAAGAAGGCTCCTCTCGTTAACTTTGGGGCCGAATTTCTTGGAGATCAACTTCTTATTGTAGGGCAAAGCCTTGCCTGCGAGTTCTTCTCGCCGAAGACATTGGTGGCCAATGTGCACAAGAATGCCACACAGGTAACATAACTGAGATAGTTTCTCAAATTTGACAGTAGCAGTGACCTCACCCTTCCCTACCTTTTCATGGGTTGCTGAGACAGAAACAGGGAGAGTAAGGCGGAGTCGAGCCATACCCGAGCGCGAAGGTAAATCTCCACCGTTCCGGCTGCATGGTGAACCGAACCTGGATTTGTCTTCCCTAGGTACCCTCCAAGCAGCGTTCCCATCTTCATCGAGCAGCACACAGTGGGAACTCCCCCAGAATTGGAGAAACAATCTGCCAATTACAGTTCCAGATCCCTTCGAGCGTTGATTGAAGGACCCGCATCGGAGGGGAAGGGTCGATGATTTTGCCCAGCAGCGACAGATCATTCCGTTCGATGCCAGGAGCGACATCAGCATCTCCAAAAATCACCATGTTTCCAGTATCCATATCAACTAGGTTAGAGAACCGGAGGGATTCAATTCAAGAAATCCACAAGAGGGGAATATGAAAGAATGACTTTGAGCACCTGAAATAAGAACCCCAGGGTGGAGGCTTTAAAAGCCCCATCTCGTCGAGGCCGGAACCGGCGGCACACGATGCCGGCGAGGCAGTTACGGTGTGGCGCACTACGGCGCTGTCCTCGCCCCACTCTCCACGACAGGGGGGAGTTGAGAGAGAACAAGTTTTTTTTTTCTTCCAAAACTTCTTCGCTTTTGGGGTGTTCAGTATCCCACTTTTTATGGTTACCTTTGATTTGATAAGAAATTGTCCCTATGATAATTGGTAGATAAATTTCAACCTTAGGTATAGCTAAGCATCTCTATTGTTTAGGAAGTGGATCATAGAGTGAACCAAGAATATTTACCATGATCTGGGTTGAATAGAACCCAATTTACCCCTAAGGTGAAGTTCAGTAGCAGAAGGAAGAAGATCCATGACCATCCCCAACCCACACCAACTCATTAATCATCATCGATTCACCACTTCCAAACAACAATGACCATCAACCAGTAGAAATCATTGACAACTGTCAATACTTTTCTTCCTATCGCTCATTACAACAACGAGCCGATGGTGTTTAAAGATCCACTACAACAGCTTTCATGAATGCTCATTAGCCATCATATCTTCTAGCAATGATATTGCTTCTACGTTGAAAAAACAATAAAGAAGAAAAGAAATGCTAATGGAAATTTAAATTTTTTGATTTGGAAATATGGACGAAATTTGTGTTGAATTGTTGTAACTTGTAATTGAGATTACAATTCTGTTGACTTAATACAGTAATATGTAGAAGTCATCATCTTAAGTATTACATGTTGCCTTATCAATACTACCAACGTTTTACGTCTTAGTTTTTACGTGATACTTAAAAATTATACGATTTTGAGATTCAATTTTACCATTTACGTAGAATCGTGACTTTGAATACTTTTAGTACATGATCGATTACTAGTAACTGAAGTACTTAGAGTGCTTTTACTGGCTAATTAATTGTGTTCCATTATTTATTTATCAGCCACTTACCTTGTCTAGAGTGTTTCTTTGTTTGGAATTTGGATACCTTCCTCAAATATTTGAATACAGATTCTTGGTGATCAAGAAAATCGAATTGGTCGAAAAAGATTTTTCTATATACTCAATAGTTCATATGATGTTATGCAATTATTCTTGTAATAAAAACTTGGTGACGATGTTGTATGACTTATCAAAACGTACCCTGTGTCCTTAAGGGAAAATCTACTCACAATCATAAACTATCATATTTTAAGTTATTGTTATTGTGTATAATTTTTGTTCTAAGCGTTTGTTTGATCTTTAGATATACCATTCATAAATGTTGGAAAGAAGTATACAATAATAGAATTCAAGAGATCAACTTGGCTATGAAGGATATGGATGATAAAAATTAGGGAAGTGGAGACTTGAAATTACTTTGTGCGTATATGATCCAAAGGTTTTTGGGTGGAAAATTTGACGAGGTGTATGCTTTTGATGAATATTACTCAATGAAATGTATTAGAGTTTTGTTGGCAACTCACAATCACGAACCATTGTGCAATCTCTAAAAGATACTAGTTCATGACTATGTCAAATGCATATTATGGATGCATGATAATTTAGAGGAAAAATGAAATATTAGTTCATAAAGAAGGTATACAAAAATTATAGGTTATATAACACGAAGAGCTTGAGTGAATATTGATTAATTCATTGCGTTTTATATGTGATATCAATGTTTGATTGGTACCAGATCCACTCAATAACCATTAAATTTAGGGTTATGCTATGCGTTTTTTTAGAATTTGAGCAACTATTTGTAGGTGTAGATATTTTTATCATCTATACGTAGAAAGACGATGTTCGTCTCAAGACGATGAAAACAATGAGATGAGTAGGTTTTCAAAAGACTTTGTATATACAACCGAGTGATTTCAAGGTAGGCCATCACAGTCCTGATTAGCAACCTTATATCATTTGATTACTTTTCTAGTTGGATTCTAGAAAATTCGACTCGATGAACATTTATCTCGTATTTTGTTCGGTAAAATCGATTGTATCGGGTGAGAACATCGAAACAAGTCACTACTTTGGGTGCACAATACGTCACCTGCTCACCTTGGTCATGAAACTTGTGTAACAGGCCAAGAAGACACATGACAACCCAAACCCAGAAGCAACCTCATTATGAGGCAATTCTTCATTACCAGCTCTTTCTTCGTTTGATTTATTAGCTAGACTTAAAGATTTTGAATTGCGAGTCCATTATCATAATCCAAGATGGCATGTAGAAGCAAGGGCTGCACAAGTCGGGAACACGTCAGAACGATCACTTGATGATGAATTGATCAAGCTCATTTTGCTAGTAGGTGATTTGGGAATTTCCTCTGTGGTTGTCGAATTGTTAATCGATTCTGGGTCTGTAGAAAGTCTAGATTGCGCACTGAATCGAGCTATATTTGAAAGATCTGAAGCAATCCATGGTTGCTCACAGCAGGGGCTTGAACACACAAATAGGTGAAGAAGCAGAGCAATTTGAGGATGGACGTGTGCAACTTCAGTCCCTTTGCAGTCCACATTTGGATGGGTATTTCTGCTCCAAATTTCGTGATTCATGAACCAGTAGATCGCCAAGGAGCCCTAGAACATTTTGAAACCATAAAATTAGGAATATGTCCCAAGCATTGGGTGGAAACGTCAATAAACTCCGACTAGCTCCCCAAGAACCCTAAACTTGACCCATCCGGCTCCCGATCTGAATTCCTCCCAATCCCCACATCCAAAACCGTCGAGTGGACATTCGTTGGAAAGCTCACGTCCTAATCTACAAAACCCTGAAAATTTTACAGAAATTGGATGGGTTAAACCCAAGTTATGCCTATTTCAAATCAGCTAAAAAACACAACATCCCCCAACCCTTCTCTTCCCATTTTCCACTGCCTCCCCTCAATCCATCCCAATCCACCACTTTCCCAAATGGCCCATCTTCCGCCGTCAACCACACCCTCATCTGACGGCCCAGTTTCAAAATTCCAAATACCCATCGATCCGTGTCGCGTGCGTCTGGACCAATCAGATTCCACCATTTCGCTCTATATGAATCCCTCTCTCTCCGGCCGTTAATCCCCACACATTCGCCTTTTCTCTCTCTACGAAACCTCAATCGTAATCTCGCCTCCATCTCTCCTCTTTCCATTTTTTGATTCTAATTCCTTCGCACTCCAATGGCGGAAACGGAAGCTCCCGTCGTGCCGACGCCCGTTCCAGAAGAGACGCAGGTGGAGGAGAAAGCCGCATCCAAGCCGGCAGCCAAGGCCAAAGCAGCACCCAAGGCGAAGAAGCCAGCTGCAGCTAAGAAGCCCAAGGCTGCCCGCAGCTATCCTTCTTTCGAAGAGGTAAAATTCTTCTCACATCTCGTTAATCGCCGCCTTCCGGTGATCGGAATACTGAATGTTCCTGATCGATTCCGTTTTCTGGATCTGATTCTTAACGATCCGTCGTTCGTTTATGTTTTTCTACAGATGATTACTGAAGCGATTAAGACGTTGAAGGAGAGGACTGGATCGAGCCAGATCGCCATCGCCAAGTGCATCGAGGACAAGCACAAGAACCTGCCGTCGAATTTCAGGAAGCTGCTTCTGATTCAGTCCAAGAGACTCGTCGCATCCGGCAAGCTCGTCAAAGTGAAGGCCTCGTTCAAGCTGCCGTCTCGGTCTTCCTCCACCGCCGCCGCTGCCGCGCCGGTTGCTGCTAAGAAGCCTGCTGCGAAATCCAAAGCCGCAGCCAAGCCGAAGGTTGCTACGACCAAGGCGGTGGCGAAGCCCAAGGCCAAAGCGGCTACTGCTGCTAAGCCGAAGCCGAAGTCGAAAGCCAAAGCCGCTGCGTCAAAGGCGAAGACAACAACCGCGTCGGCTAAGTCAACGACCAAGGCGCCAGCGAAGAAGAAGGCTCCAGCTGCAAAAACCGAGACCAAGCCTGCAAAGGCAGCAGCTAAACCGGCAGCCGCCAAGGCCAAGCCAAAGCCCAAAGCCGCTGCTTCCAAAGCTAAATCTGCAGCAGCAGCTAAGCCAGCTGCCAAGTCGCCAGCTAAGAGGAAGGCTCCGGCTCCCAAGCCAGTAGCTGCCAAGTCGACTAAGAAGGCGAAGACAGCGTCGGTAACTTCGCCGTCGAAGAAGGCTGCGACTAAGCCGAAGAAGGCTGCCGCCGCTGCCAAGCCTGTGAAGAGAGCCAATGCTACGCGGAAGGCCCGGAAGTGAGGATTCTTTGTGTTTGATGAGTCGTAGGAGTGAATGTTGTTTGGGAAGGCGAGCGGTGAACGGCAAAATTTAGTGTTGTAAATTGCGGGCTGAGAAGTATCAGAATGAATAGTTTCGGTTGTAACAGAGCTTTTTTACTTTAGGGTTTCAACATTGCTAGGGTTTCGTTTTACGTTCTGTATTAACTCAATTGAAGTGAATTCCAAGCTTTTTTTCTTTCCTGGGAATTTGAACTGTGCACCGTCTCCAAAAGTAAGCAGCTCATTTGAATTCCGAAGCTGGACCATATAAAAAACAATGGCGGAATATTACTTGGATTACACTATGAGTGTCATCGTATCTTAACGTTTGGAACGCCATTGCTATAAAACTCAATTGAATTCTGAAGCTCGTCTGCATCAACAATGGCGAAAAACAAGACTAGCGCTGTTTCTTTGTACTACACTAGGACTGTTACAGAAGAATGCAATGCATCTTGTACAGGTTGTTGTACGTTCTTCAACCCAGAGAACTGGCCGATGTCGTGGCCTTGAATCGGGTGGAAATCCGTGGTCAGACCGATTCCGAATTCTTCAGCGGCTGCAACTGTTTCCAAGTAATCCCCAATCTGTGCAGCAAGAGGAAGAAAGAAAGAGCATATTATATTTGGTTAATGGTTTTAGCTTCACGCGACTGTGATTAGGGAAAACGGAAGAGTGGGTTTGGACTGACATGATTAGCAAGAGCAATGCCGCTTAAGGCGGCGGACTCCATGTTTGAACCGAGAAGCCAATCCCCGCAGATTCCAGCCCTTCCTTGGGGATCGAATATGCAGGGGATCCCTGGACTGTTGGTCGGCAGAGCAGCACCCCTGTTTCAAACAAATAACAAATTTCAGCCTCCGGTAACTAACAATTCAATCACCATTGTTATAGTACTTTTAACCTCAGGTTTTTTAAGTTCAATACCATAGCTGGAGTTTTGTGTAAGATGGTCTTTGCAGCTGTCCTTTCTCCATTCCTAAAGCGGCTTCTACACCTTCCAACATGCTCTCTTTCACCTTCTCTGCTGTTTCACATGGGATGCTTTCCTAACACCACAAAAACCCAACCAGAGTTACTCAATGAAGGGAAAGGAAGGGACTTTTATAATTTGGTCATAAGCTACTGCTACTGCCTACCTGTGGAACTTTGTTCCTCTTCCCATAAGCTCCGGTGCTGAAAAGTGTCCAGCATTCGGGGCTTTGTTTCCCTTTCGAAAGCTTCCCGGAGTTGTTACCCATCCACGACAATGCATCCACTCCTCTCACGAATGCTCCTTCGAACGGTATTGGAAGCGGATCATCAAATGCCGCCATCAGCGCCCATATTGAGCTTAAATCAAGCTTCTGCAACCTCATTCGCAGCGTATGCATAACAATCACCATCTCCATCATCAAGTTTTTATCACAACACAGCCAATAGTTGAGAAGAAGATTGAGTACCTTCATTTGTCTTGCGATTAAGGGCAAGCCTGATGTAGCAAGCAACCGATTCGCACATTTCCCTGGCAGACATACATCCCAATTTCCAAACAGGCATTTATTGAAGCAAGAAATGAACACAAGAAGGTAGCAAATGGAAGAAAAATTATTTAGTTATGGTGACGCAGCTATCGGAACTCACCATTGTGTGCAATCACAATGACATCGAACTGCCCACAAGGCTTCCCATTCTCACTCAAGTGCCACATCCCATTGAACGGCTCTAGCTTGCTTATCCAGCAAGGTCTCACCACATTCACCATTTCACTCTGCCACCAACCCAACAAATCAAATCATCCATTTCCACATATTCTAGGTGCAAGGGGACACACATCAATTGAGCCAGAGAAAGCAACACTAAAAAAAAGTGAAGGATCATTAGACTACCTGTGAGAGAAGTGAGTCTGCAAGAAACCGCATTCCATCAACACCAACATATCTTGGAGGGATTGGTGGGAAGGGCACAAATCCACCACCACCACCGGCATCAATCTCCCCAACTCTACCTTTCCATTCTTCAACCAGACCTTTTGCCAACCAACCATTTACTAGGTCACCAAATACAGGATCACTTACAGTGAAGAACTGAGCAGCATGATCGAATATTAGTTCCTTATCACCACCGACAATGGTTCTCGTCCCCAATCTTCCTCCCAACCCGTGAATCCCCTGAATTCCCACAATTCAATCAAATTAAGGAAGAGCTAATTTCACATGTTGACGGATTTAGATGCATCCAGAAACCAGAATACATATCGAATCCCCCAAAAATTTGAACAAGCGGGGCAAAACTGACCAACCGTGTCGAAAACCGTGGACTTGAACCCTCTTTGCTCCAAACCGAGAGCACAAAGCAGACCGGCCATGCCGCCTCCGATAATCCCTACATGGGGTTCGTGGGAGACTGGAGCGGTGAACACGACCTGCTCTTGATTGAACGATTTCTTGAGAGTCGACCTCCTAGAAGTGCCGTACTTGCTCCTTCTGGAAGTGGGTTTTCGTTTACCGCCGCGAGCATCCTTGGAGGAGGGAGCAGCGCAAGTCAGGACGAGGGACAAAGCAGAGGAGGACGAAGAGGGTTTAGTTGCAGGGAGTAGTTTGAAGGGACGAAGAATTAGGGAAGAAGAATAAGAAGAGGCGGAGGAAATGGAGGGGACGACTACGGCCATTGATAAGTTGCCCATGATTCTGCCAAGGAATCCTGCTTGAAGACTTGTAGTAACAGGGAGAGGGAGGAATTTATTTTTGGTTTTAACGGTCTCTTATCCGCATTGGATTTTTGGATCCTTTTCATCTTTTTCTTGCTTCTTTTGGTTTTCAAATTATGTTTCCTGAGGCTGCTTTTACATTTCAATCTTGTAATCTGCTATCGATTTATAATCTATGATAAAAAAAATTCCTATTGCAATCAGAAAAGAAAAGAAAAAAACGTTTCCTTGTGAACAAACTTTCGAAACAAAAGTAAATATATAAGTAATCCATGGATTCACTTCCGGTCTTTTATCTCCATCGAATTTTTGGACCCTTTTCATCTTTTTCTTGCTTCTTTTCTTTTTCCAATTACGTTTCCTACGACCGCTTTTACATTTTAATCTTGTAACCTGCTATCGATTTACAATCTATGACAAAAAAAACCCCGCTTCCTACTGCAGGTAGAAAAGAAAAAAAATAAACCGTTTCCTCGTGAGCGAATTGTCGAAACAAAAGTAAATATGTAAGTAATCCATGGATTCATTAGAAAGCTTTTCGTACCAATAAATTACCGAATAATCCAAAATTCCGGATGGGTAGAAGATTGAGAAATAACTTTGAAATTGTTGCATTTATCACGATTACCTTGATAGTGTAATTATGAGCTCCGCACCATTACATATCAAATTGGTGAGGTTAACGTCGAAGAAGTAAACAAACTAGTATAATTTTCGAGAGAATTAAAAAATATAATTGATCAACCATATCTGGTTTAATTAGTATGATTTTGTAACCTAAATCTTGATATGGACAAATATAATTTTTTTTGTTGACACTTGTAATGTACTTTTGAGAGAATTTGTTGTGATTAGATGCATATTAAAGGATAAATTTATCATTTTATATATTATTATTATATAGTTGCCTTATTTGAAAGCTCAAATAAAAGGTCAACTTTCAAACATATTAAGCTAATATAGTAATATCCCATTTTTTCTTAGTACTATCAATGTTTTTTTTTTTTTGCCAAAAGCTCACTCGTACTACCAAGAAATATAGATCTCAGTTTATAAACCAAACAAGAACCATGACCGAAAACCAAAACCCACCAAACCTGCACGAAACAAAGAAAGAGCTTTTTTGGCTACAACATGAGCCGCTCGATTGTTTTGCCTGCCCCGTAACCAATTGAAAATCCTATAAAAGCTAGACGTAACTGAAAAATTTATTCAAGAATCACTCCTTTAGCATCACGAACATCCTGGTCTCTGATCTTGGAAATAACGGCTTGCGCATCTCCCAGAAAAGCAGCCTCTGTCCTCCTTTAGTACTATCAATGTGTTTGTTACTATACATGTAATCTTTAAAAAAATGTATGAAAACTTAAAGATGAAGCCTCAAACAGACATTATGGTCCAAGCAATATCAAACCCACAACAAACAATGGAACGAAAAATAACATACAAAGGAGACCATTAACATTACTATTACAACTACGAAGCAAATCACAGTGAGTTAGTGGCAGTACAAATTTGACCAAATAGTGAAGGCAACTAACTATTAGCAACAGAAAAATGGCAGGACTTGGAATGAGCGGGGGTCCTTATACACAACAACCCAAAGATTAATATGTACTCATAATTCTCCATTACAGACCATATACAAATTCAGTCAAAAGACAAAAAATCCACTTCAGAAAAATATCAAAAGCCATCAGTTCTGGGAAATGCAAGCATAAGGCTATTCCTTCTCAAAACATCCTAACACCACCATCATCATAAACTCTAAAATCGAAATCGTAACAATCTGTCTCTCCTTCCCCCCTTTCCCTTTTCATCATTTTCTTCGAACAGGTTAGCGAAATAAAAAAAACCCTGCAGCAGAACAGGTTCATGACTCAACAGAGATGTTGACGCTTGGCTGCTCAGCGGCCATGTTTGCAGGAGCAGCAGCATTTGTGGTGGTAGTAGTAGTTACATGTTGTTCCGACCCAGAATCCCTTTTTGCCTTGTTGTGGTGGGTACTGCCATTTGCTGTCTGTCCACCGCTGCTGGTACGAGTCCTGGCTCTTGGACCAGATGGGGATTCTTTATGGGCATGGCTGCCAAGGCTGTGGCGCTGCCTGGCACAATGCTTGCTGATGACCTGTTGTTGATCTTGCTCCTGATATGTGCTCACAGCTGCATCTCCGCAGCTCTTTCTCCGGTTAAGCTTCGGTGATACTGGCCGCGTCAATGGCAGCTGACAAAATAGAAGAACATAACACAAAAATCCCACAGGTTAGAGTTGGTAAAGTGCTGCTGCAGTAGACTTGAAGTTGCACTTACATATGAAGAAGAAAGAGTCCATTTTTGCAGCAGCTTCATTTGTTGTCATATGTGAAGAGAAGTGCATAAGTCTAAAGAGTTGTTTAAGACATAAAGCGAAGATGTTCCTTTCTCATTATGGGTGTGTTCGGTTTGGTCAGTATGTATATGGATCTTATTTGTTTCAATAGAGGTGTATTTCAAAAGAAAAATTATTCAATTTAGTGCATTATTATCGAAAATTGTGTCAAGGAAAAGACACGTTGAAGCCACTTTCCTACAGTGAATTTTCAACTCCTTTCAATCCTCAAACACTTGAGATTGTATCGTTTTCATGCATTTGTTTGAGATTGTGCGTGCCAACTGCACTCAAATATGCCAATAGTGTCAACAACAAAACAATCACAGGATATTTTTTTCAATTGCATTTCTTTCAAATACTCGCTTCATTCTATCATCTGTTTAATTGATCTTTCATACAACTAAATCAACTTTCTGACATCTGATTAGGGAAATGATGGTAGGAAGTAGAGTACCTTTTTCAGTTCAGTCTTCGGTGGAGGTGGCTCATAGTAGAAATTAGGCACTGGGTTTGCTCTAAACACCATGTTCTTTCTCATCTGCCTGATGGCTGCTTGATGCTCTTCCTACAACAAAAGAAAGCCAAAGTTTGCTCAGTCATGTCAGTTTGAATAAGACCAAATCCAAGATGCAACTTCAAGTTTATAGGGTACAAATCAAAGTGAGTAGAGAGAATACCTTGGTCCTAGCCTCAGCCTGGCTTTTCTCAGTCTCCAGAGCTTTGTGTTTTTCCTCCAATTTTGTATAAAACTAGAAACATATACAGAGAAAAACTAGTTAGATTCTCAATTAAGCTATATACCTTTGGTAACGAAACAGGTTGACACAATTAACTTCAGAGAAGATGAGTACCTCCCTTCGCCTGTGGGCACGTTCAGCAGATTTGAAAGTGGGAGCTGTGCCAACAGTGACAGATTTAATAGTTCGAACGGATGCAGCAGTTCTAGACATGGCTAAGGAACACTAACAGCAACTGAATTTCACTTAAAGAGAGAGCATGAACCTTCCATGACCCTAAGTTATTTGCATAGCCTTGTGTGTTGCTGGCTAGTTAAGAAAAGAATATATATTTTTTACAAAATAAGAGGATACGAGGAAGCAACTGAGCACTTGTCGTCTTCATCATAATGCTTGTCATCATGTCGGAAGACCTTTCTCACTGACTTCGGCGAGCTCTGCTGAGAAAAATGACAACATAAATGTCTAGCACATTGAAGAAGAGCACAGAGGAGATAGAGAAAGTAAATAACCAATAATGCTTCAGAACATGAAACTGCACTTCAAGATTTATAAAGAAACTTTAAATGCCAATGCAAATTAAGATGTATGACTTACCACCACAAATGGATACCACACTTAATGAACACATAGTAGTATCACATCAAGTTAAATAAGGATGAGAAGGAGTCCATGAGTATATAGCTGATGATATACCGCGACAACAACTGAGTGAAACATGTCAAATGAGGAGTTTTCAACAGAGAGGAAGAATCTTCCAGTGGTTTGAGAAGACTCTAAAACCTTCAAACCACCATGTTTTACATAAAATTATTGAAAGGAGGGAGCTACCAATAATTTAAAATAGGAGAAGTAGCAGCAAAATGGGAGTATAGATTAGGGATCACTGGCTTTGTAATCAATAACACATAAGGGAAACTCATTTTGTGCAACGGATAATAGAGAAATGAAACTAGACATCTACCTGCTACTACGACTACTACTAAAGATTCAGTTAGTTACCTTTGAGCTCTTTCCACTGACAGGTGACAGCACATTGTTTGCATTGGCTGAGATGTTTCCGTCTCCATGCTTTTCAGTCACCAAAGCAACCGTGCGTGCTGCTTCAGAGTTTCCTGGACCACCAGAAATGGGTGTGAGAGAAGTTGCCACTTTAGTACCAACAATTGACTTCTGAATTCAGAAAATGGGAGTCAAAATACCATTGTTTGTGTTCTTAACATCTAACACATCCTGATGCTCAACAATTCCCAACTCTCCCTTTTCTTTCCCTTGATAATGGTCTACCGAAGTACTCCTAGCAGAAACGCGAGCACCACCACCCTGTGACATTCCATTTGACTTCCCTGCAACACCGTTACGCTTCTCATCCATGTCTGCATTCACAAGTTTCCGTCCCATCAAACTGCCACCAACGAAGGTAAATATTAGTCTTAGCACCTGAGATTTTCTCATGCAAGCTCATCTATAGCAGGATGATATCCATTCAAGCTAGCAGAGGGAGCAACCAAAATAACCTCTTACATGACCAAATACCAACGATGTTTCTAAATTCCGAAATCGCAACACAGTTAGATTATGCTAGCGACACATGTTAAAAGATATGTCATATGGTGATGCTCAAACGTCCATTCATGGAGAGGACCTTTTCCTTTCTCTCTTTATATTGCATAACAAAACAAACATTCTGGGAGACATGAAAGGGACCCATGATAAATTCTATGTTAAAACTTAATCCACAAACTTTCACGATTGACCACATTAAAAGTCCACATGAACATAGGAAGAAAAGATCCAGAACCCTCCCCTCCTGATGAAGCATGTGGATAGAGAGCATATTGTGACAAGTGAGCCCCCAGGTAAGGGAACATCCTCCCAAGTCCTGGACCAGGAACAGATCCTTCCCAGATCAAAATGAAAAAGCTCCATTTCTAGCTCAAATTTTCTGCTTTTGGAGAGCTCTCTCTCCACATCCCATTAAGGACGAAAGAAACACGCTAAAGGGGTAAGTAAGAAAGAATCTCGGGAGAATTGAAAACTCCTCTTAATTGTGGGAAAGGGGAAACAAAGGAACCAACTAAAAAGGGCCAGAATAAATGAGGTTTGAACGTAAGGCAAGGGAATACCTTCAAAAAGCAGGAGCAAGTTAAGGCATCAGGTCAATTACTACACAAGACTAAGAATCTAAAAAGAAGTTCGATTTGAACATCCAAAAATCAAAAGAAATCACACAGACAATAGAGGGGAAAATGCATGCAAGTAAACCTCCAGCTGCAAGCTCAGATAGTGCAAGAACAGAAACAACAGGAAAGAGACAGGAACCGAACTTTACCAGCCCAGAAAGAAACAAAACAAAAGGAAACAAAAGAAAACCCAGGCAGAAGGAGGAAACGAGGGCGCTTCTTGCTAAACCAACATCAGAATTCAAATCAACCAAAAAGGAGACAAAAAAGAAGAAGAAACAGAGATTAGAAAGGGTGGGGATGCAGGGAAGCGCTGTATGTTAATATAAAGCTTCGGTTGGTCCAAGTTAACAAACAAGAGAAGGAGAGTGGGCAGGACTGGGAAAGCAGGAAACCCAGAAGAAGAAATGAAGAGATAAACATAAAGAAGACGAAGAAAGGAAGAACCTTTCATAGATCGAGGCACATTGCTGGTGCGGAAACAAAAACAGGGGAGAGCAGCAGAAAAACCCAAAAAGAGCAAGAAATGTGGTGAAGATTTCTTACAATTCGGGGTCCGATCTAACAAGATCCCAAGCGCAAAACCCTCCCTTCTCAATCCAAAATCTTCTCTCTCCTCTTCCTTTCTAGCTATCTATGCTTCTGTCCACCTCTCTTTCTCTCTCTCTATCTAAATATATAAACCCATGCCAAAATGTTTTCTGTGATTTTGCATTTTAATAGCTAAAGCAGAGGAAAAGCAGAGTTTGACGAAGACTAAATATTTCTTTCTTTTCTAATATGTTATTTTTAAAAGGTAGGTTGGATAAGAGATTTTGGTCTAAAAGATTTATGCGGAATTTGAACTCAAATTACTTACTTAAAAATTCAGATAAATTAAATGAACTATTTACTATTTAGGTCTATTTACTTGTTTGTTTTCACCAAGGTTGTCGACCCGTGGGTTGATTCGGACCCGGTCGAACTCGTGGGTCAAAGATTAATGGCTCACCCGTTTTAGCCCGGTTTAACCCAGAAATATGGAAATAGTCATTATAATGTACTTATCCTGATAAATTAGATCAAATCTCATCTAGCATATGATAAACCGTTAATTGCACATGTTTTTACCCCTATTCTGGAGCCGTTTGAGGTGTTGATTCTCGTGTGTTAGGACGATTTCACGCTAGGTTGTGCTTGTTTGTGATATTTCAGGTCCTAGTAAGTGAATGAAGGTTTAGGAGCGAGTTCAGGGTCGATTGGACGAAGATCGGACGCGAGGCGAGTCGCTGAGGAAGCCACACGGGCACACACAGAACCCACACGGCCGTGCAAGTGACCAATGTGGCCGCGTGGGATTGTGCGAGCCTTCACACGGGCACAAATAAATCTCACACGGCCGTGTGAAGGAGTAATTTGGCCGTGTGGAATTCTGCGAGGCTTCACACGGGCAGGCTGGACATTCCACACGGCCGTGTGCCCCTGGCCGTGTAGGAAGCATGAAACCCACATAATCGGAACGCGGCGTTTTGACCTCACACGGGCAACTGGGTATGCCACACGACCGTGTGGCCTGCCCGTGTGAGTCGGGAATTTCTGGTTTTTACCCAATTTCGGGCCACAAGTGAGAGAATAGGATTTTCAGAGCAAAAATAGAGCCCTAGAGAGAGAAAGTACGAAGAACACATCCTAGAAGCTATCTTGGAGCTGGGTTTCATCAAATCGAGCTTGGAGATCGTCATAGAAGTGGAAATCATCATCCCAGAGCAGATTCTTCCCATTGTTATGAGTATGACTGCTTTGTATTCTATTTTCCTCTCTCTCTCTCTCTCTCTATGGAGTAGAACCCTTCTCTCACTTGGGTATGAAGAACCCTAGTTCCATGTGTTAGGGATTTGATTGTAATGACTTGGGATGATTATACTGTTTGGTTTTAATTGAATGATGCATGTTTATTGAATTGATTGTAGTCTGATCAGCTTTTCTTGATTTCTGCTGCAACCTGAGATAGATAGAATCTGATTAGGTTGTTAGAGCCTCATCATTCGGTAGTAGGAGATTGGCTATACGAGAGTTAGCCAGTTTATTGCTTTGTACTGGAATCCAATTCCGGTAGTGGAGTTCTGTGCTTATTGCTTCAGCTTTCTATCTCGGTGAAGACCAGTCGTCTGCCGGGTAGTTAGACTGAGAGGGCTTGGTCAGCTTAAGAGATTCCAAGCTACTGTCGGATCTTCCGCAGTCTAATCAACAGTAAATCAACCCAGGGTAATTACAATTGAGACCTAACTAAGGAGCTAGGGGGACTCATTCCCGAGTGACTCTTCTTTGCTTGAGAAAACCGTACCAATTCCTGCTTTCTTACTGCTTTTGCTTAAAACAACAATCACTTAACTTAGTTGGCTAGATAATAGATAATCACGGAGTAAGCAGTAGATCTAGACCCCGAGTTGATAATAGAACTTGCCACTTTACTGCATTACCGGACTGCGATTACACTTGGTCGCAGTTTGGTGTTGTGTTTTGGCGTGTCAGCATATGAGTTATAACATATAATATTACACCAAAATAACATGTCGTACTTAGATCCAACATATAGTGAAAATTCACATCACACTTATATAACATCAATATTCAAATGTTCAACTTAGAATTCCAAAGATTGAGCTAGGAGAAAAGAAAAATCGGAAAATAGGTCCATTTCGCAAATCAAAGAAAAAATGACACAATTTGACCTCCAATCCGGTACCTTGTAGCGGTCGACCCGACAAGTGCGTGCAACCCATTTTTCTCACCAGGCCAGGGTCAAAATGGGTCGACCCGCGGGTTGACAACCTTGGTTTTCACATAGTGAAATTTGAACCCATTATGTTAGGGCTAGGCTTATAAACGGTTATCTCGTTAACAATGTAATCGATAACCGAATCGGAACCGGTGCTTAACTGTTACACCGATAACCGATTAAATAGTAAACGGTCGGTTCTCGGTAGCCAAATTTATCTAATAACTAACCAATAGTAACGGTTAATAATCGGCGGTTAAATGGTTAACCGACTAAGCGATTATGATCATCCTCATAGTTAGGGCTGCAAATAATAGACCCCCATGAGCCGCAAACATAGGCAAAAAATAATGGGGTGTTTGAAGGCTTACAAGACCCCTTGCCTATCCTAATTGTAATAGTGATTTAGACTCAAATGAGAATAATTTAAAGGAAGAGTTTTAGAAGGAGCACGGTAGAAAGTCAGACTTCCGCACAGTTGCTCGACAACAATCAGTAACATGAAGCTTCCATGTAATATGGTGGGGGTTTACAAGATGAGTAATTGTTGTTTGGATCTCTTATCGTTATATGCTTCTTTAATAAAGTTTGCCGGTAGAATGGTATTATTACGTACTTGTGTTGGATTGAGTTGATTATGTATTGATATATATATATCTATGTTAAATTATTTTGTATTCAATGATAACAACTTAAGAAAAGAACACATGTGTATGTATGAAAATTATAGAAAATTTCACAAGTGAAAAAAGCAGGTATTTTGTTGGTAAGGTTATCGATCGATTATTTTGGTATAACCTTGTCAAATCACTTGGTTAACGATTATTCGGTTAACCGACAAAATAACCGAGATCGATCATATGGTTACGGTTAACCGACTAATTTAAACGATGCGGTTAACGATAAGTACAATGTGCTTAACGGTTAACCGAGAATCGACTAAACGGTTCTGGTTATACCGAACCGATTATCAGCCCTAGTTAGGGTTGGGAAAATAGATAAGATCGATAGAAAAACTATGGTCCAAACCGGACCGCACAGTTTGGTCCGGATCGTAGACCGTTAAGTATGGTTTGGTTTGGTCTGATCCGTGGTACATATTATATGGTGTTTTGATCTCTTGGTCTGGTCTTAACCGCATTTTACCGGACCAAACCGTGGACACAACCGACTTCTCAATACATGTTAGCATCCGACTTGACCACTATCCAACTCCCACAACGAGACCCAAGTCTCAACCTTAATTTTGAGAATCTCGTCCTCTTCTTCATTCACAACCACATTTCACTAGAGAGTAGAGACAATCGTGTCTTCATATGACATTATGTTACTGTTTATGACGTTATGATGCAAGTTGGGATGCCATGACTTTGTATTTTTGTTATGTACTGAGATTTAGGGTTTCAAAATTATTCATTCATGTTAGAATTTATGTTTTAAGGCAAAAATACAATTTTTTTCTTGGATATTGGTTCAATATTTTGTATGATTGACTAAACAAATTGTTCATTTTT